CCCGCTGCGTCTTTCACCCGCTTACAAAATAGGAGGAAATAATAATCAAAATAATGTTAATATGATAATACTAAATTTATTTTTGCACTAAAAGGATATCAAAAAAATTATTTAAATTACAATGATATTAAATATTTATTTATGGTTGCTTACTTGCTTAAAGTCTATAAAATGTTAGGAACTGACTATTATGTGTGTTATTAAGAATTTGAAGAGCTTAAGTGGAGTGATAAGCTACAACAACGTTACATATATAAGAAGAAGAAGAAAACAGAACAAGCATTAGTCAAAGATGGAGCTGACGTGGAAGAGCTAGTTTGACTTTTGCTGAGCTGGCGAAGGAAGAAGATATTTTCTGGAATGAGTTTGTTTGTTTAAAAGGTTGTTGAGTCTGTTCATTTGGCTCTTAGACTTGTATTTTGAATCTGGAGTGTGGAGCCTTTTGGCTTGAGGCGATTTGAGATCGTGAGAGAGAAGATGATAGGATTCATATCCAATATCTTCGTTTAGCTACAGATTTGAAGTGTAATTCTCTTTTCATTCAATAAAGGAAGTTTACAGCGATTGTGAGAGATTAAGAGTGAAGTGAGAATTAGCGATCTTCATTCTTAACAATTGGTGCGCTTGTGAGATCGATTGAAACATCGCGATGGGGGAAGTAGCTGAGAAAGAAGTTGGGATCGAGGAATTAGCCGAAATCATCACTGAAACTCGTTCGGAGCTGAAAATCTTCAGTGATGGTTGCAAATTGTTATCGAAGAATAAAAAAGAAACGGATCGCAAATTGGAGACATTAATGGTAGAATCGACGAAGATGGCGGTCGATTGATCAAAGCGATTCGACTTCTTGGAGCAACGACTGTTGAATCTCTCGGCAGCAATTGGCCGGATAGAATCACACCAGTTCAACGAGCGTCCACATGGAAAAAGCAATGCATCATCCTTGGATAATCAGGTACCAATTTTCGATCCTGAATCTCCACCGGAAGTTCTTCAGTTAGGATCTCGGGGAATGGAATTAGCCTTAGTGAATCATGAATCTATGTTGCGTACAATTGAGATTCCAATATTCGAAGGAAAGAATCCGTATACTTGGCTGTGCCGTGTGGAACGTTATTTTTGCATCGGTAAATACACGGATCAACAAAAGCTAGAATTGGTATCGCTAAGCCTGGAAGGCAGAGTAGCGAATTGGTTTGAAAGAGAGATAGCTGAAAATCCGTTCACAACATGGGAAGAGTTTAAAGAAAGGATGTTGGCGAGGTTTGTAGTGTCAATTGATGAGGAACCGGGGAAGCGGTTGTGCAGTATTACTCAGACGGGGTCTATTCAAGACTACATCAGCGAATTTGAGGAGCTTACCTCAATTGTGAAAGGCATTGACGAAGCAAACTTTCTTGAATATATTTTACAAAGGTCTTAAGAATGAGCTGAAAGAAGTGGTGAAGTTGATGGAACCAAAAGGATTGACGGCTCATAAAGCAGCAGTAGTAAAGATGGAGGACAGTCTTCTGTGTCAGGTATTAAGCGGAGTGAAGAGAAACGAGCAGCGTACTCAACGTACGTATACTTACACACCATTCTGACCTGCAGTGGTTGCAAACAAAACAGCAAACAACCAGGAGAGTAGCAGGGCGTTAGTTGCTGTAAAACCACAAGGACAAACATCAAATCAACCGAGTTCAGCTCGCCCTCGATTACATCTATCAGAAGCAGAGTTGAAGTACAGAAAGGACAACAATCTATGCCTTAAATGTGGGGCTAAGTGGAACAGAGAGCATCTTTGCACTAATATGACATTGCAATTAATAACGGTGATTGATGGAGTTGAAATGGAAGTAATGGAAGAGTATCTGCTAGACAATGAGTCTGAACGGAGAGCAGAAACTGTTACACAATTGATGGAGTTATCTCTTAATGCTTTCCTGGGTCTGGATTCACCAACAACAACTAAGATACGAGGAAGTATTGGGAAGAATTCTATCACAGTCCTGTTGGACAGTGGTGCGACACACAACTTTGTCACACCAGCACTGGTTAAGAAAGCTCGATTATCGCTACAACAAAACCCCAATCGTCAGGTATTGCTGGGAACAGGAGTGTCCATACACGGTTCGGGAGTTTGTAAAGAGGTGACATTCAGTCTACAAGGATTATCATTCACAACGGATTTTATATCATTGGATTTGGGAGGAGTGGATGTGGTATTAGGAGTGCAATGGTTGAGAACATTGGGCAAGTGCTTAGTAGATTGGGAGCTACATGAGCTCAGTTTCAACTATAAAGGAAAGATGGTAACATTGGTTGGCGACCCGGACTTACACAAAACAAAGGTGTCTCTTAAGACAATGGAGATCAACAAAAAGGAGTGGAGTTATGGTTTGTAAATCAACAAGTCTGTACACAAGAAACGGAGTCGATTCCAGAAGTGATTCAATCAGTGTTAACTCGATTTGAGAAAGCTTTTGACAAACCAATCGGTCTTCCCCCTATTCGTGGAAGAGAACATGCGATTACACTGAAACATGGAACAGAAGCTATAAGTGTTCGTCCTTTCCATTATCCACAAGCTCATAAAGAAGCAATGAACATATTGGTTACAGAAATGTTGGACAATGGCATCATCAGACTGAGCAAGAGCCCCTTCTCGAGTCCGGTTTTATTAGTAAAGGAAAAGGATGGATCATGGAGGTTTTGTGTCGATTACAGAGCACTGAATAGAGCAACCGTGGCTGATAAATTTCCTATACCAATGATAGACCAACTACTGGATGAATTACATGGAGCTATATTCTTTTCAAAGCTGGATTTGAGAGCTGGTTACCATCAGATTCGGATGAAAGAGGAAGACATCTGCAAAACAGCTTTTCGAACACATGATGGTCATTACGAATTCCTTGTGATGCCATTCGGTTTAACGAATGCACCAGAAACATTTCAAGCTTTGATGAATGAGTTATTTCGACCATTTTTAGGGATCTTTGTGCTGGTGTTCTTCGACGATATATTGATATATAGTCGGAATGAGCAGGACCATGCACAACATCTGAGCACAGTGTTGAAAGTTTTTGAAGAAACTCAGTTGTTTGCCAACAGAAAGAAATGCCTGTTCGGCCAAAAGAAGGTCGAGTATCTTTATCTCAGAAATAGGGGTGGCTACAGATCATACGAAGACGGAGGCTATGAAAT